ACTTCGACTTCAACTACGTTTTTCACGTAGCTGAAGTTCGAAGTACCTTAGTTCGATTTGGGGGGTTAGTGTAGACCAAGCCTAAGATACGCAACTTCAGCTACGTGAATAACGTAGTTGAAGTCGAAGTATCTTAGTTCGAACTTAAAAGTACTTACCGCGGGTCCACACGCGGCAGCAGGCTCCCCCGTCGACTCTGCCTACTCCTCTCGCAGAGCAGGATTACCGGCGTTGACAGCGAGCACTTCCGGGATCGATTTATCGCGTCTAGACAAGACTCGATAAATCTAGACAAGACTCGATAAATCGATCCCAGAAGATCGATTGCTTGCCGCCGAACCAGTGGGTAAGTATAGACGTACCCTTAGTCTCCATCCATCCCACCAACTGAGGCTGCATGACCTATGTTGCCCCCTAGTGATCACCCAGGTGTGGTACTGCTGGGGTCCTGCAGGCAAGCTCCCCTTCTACAGAGAACCTCATACCAGCAAGTCCTTCTACACCAGGGGTAGGCAACCTATGGCACATGTGCCAAAGGCGGCACGCAAGCTGATTTTCAGTTGCATCCACACTGCCTGGGTCCTGGCCACCGGTCCGGGGGGCTCTGCATTTTAATTTAATTTTAAATGAAGCTTCTTAAACATTTTATAAACCTTATTTACTTTACATACAACAATCGTTTAGTTATATATTATAGACTTATAGAAAGAGACCTTCTAAAAATTTTAAAATGTATTACTGGCACACGAAACCTTAAATTAGAGTGAATAAATGAAGACTCGGCACATCACTTCTGAAAGGTTGCCGACCCCTGTTCTACACGCAGGCTATGGTCACCTGGGCAGGCCGTTGCTGATAGCTGAGCAGGTCTCTGCTCAAGTGCCCAGCTTCATTTCCTCTCCCTCCTGGATCCAGACTGGTTCCTGGGCCTGGCTGCACAGCCCTCGGCAACACAAAGCCTCCCACAGAGGGGGGCAGGGATGCAAGGCAAATGCAGCCTCCCCACCCCCAGAGCCAGTGCAGCCCTGAGGGTACAGAAGGGTGTCAGGCCTAGGGCATGTGTGCATTTAGAGCACCTACAGGGGAAACTACCCTGGAAGGGCACCCAGGAAGCCTCAGCTGCTCCCTGCAGTAGAACCTGGGGGGAGGGGGGAAGGGGTCAGTCTAAGCACTGCCTACGCTGCCATGGGGGGTCCATGCTCAGCGATACTGGCCCCCACTGGAGCAGTGATGTGCCATGTGCACCAGCCACATTTCTGTGCATGAAGGGAGCCCTCGAGTGGAACGGTCCTCAGCAGGTTGCATGTGTTTGATGCTGTTGTGACTGGCAATGGGTATGAGAAATCACTC